ATATTCCCTTAAACCAAAGATATCGCAGTTGGTGCCAAATGGATGGAGCTCCAGCTCACTCTGGCCAAATAGTTCGCAACTACATGAATGCAAAATATCGTAACCGCTGGATAGGATGTTTGCCATATCAACCGTTGTTTAATGTGGAGGGGCCGGTGCTTTGGCCTCCTAGATTACCAGATCTTAACCCCCTCGACTACTATGTATGGGGTACGTTGAAAGATGATGTTTACTCTGCACCAATTGAAGACAGAAATCAATTGCAGAGAAGAATAATAGACGCCTGTGATAATCTCAAGCAGAGGCCACATGAAATCATCGCGGGGATAAATTCTTTAATATGAAGATGTGAAATGTGTATTAATGCAGCAGGCGGGCATTTCGAACAACTTCGTTAGATGTTATGCAGCTGTAATTACTTTCAATAGTTTTATTAAATATTGATTATTGAATTGATACAGTAATTATTTTATTGTTAATTCAACTGCAATTTGTTGGTCTATTGTAATAGTAATAATAAATAAATTTTACTTGAAAATGATAATAGTTACGAAAAACTTGTTATATTGTTTTTAATATATATAAATAATATTTCTAAACAACAAAACACTACGGGTGTGGTGATATCATACGCAGATGATACGGCTATCTTATACACAGGTGATTCTTGGACAGAGGTATATAAAAAAGTAGAATGTGAACTAGCTGTATTTTTTGACTGGTTAAATAGTAGCCTTTTAAGCCTTAATATAGATAAAACTAAATACATCGCGTTTACAACTAGTATAATTGATCAACCTATTATAAATAATATCACTATACACAAGAGGGGTTGCACAGATAAACTAAGCTGTTCTTGTCCTAAAATTCATAAAGTAGCAAACATTAAACACCTTGGAGTTATGATTGATCAGTGTCTACGCTGGACAGATCATATAGAATTCACAGTGAAGCGGCTTAGGCAACTAATACATAAATTTTACCAACTCAGAGATGTAATAGATATCAAGCATATTCTTATGGTTTATGATGCATTGGTAGTGTCTGTAATGAGTTATTGTATAACTGTATGGGGTGGAGCATATAAATCAGTAATGCATAATCTAGAGGTTATACAAAATAGTATATTAAAAATCATTCTAAAAAAAGACAGATTTTACTCCACTGAAATGTTATACAAAGAAGCTAAAGTGTTTAGTTTGAGACAGTTGTTCTCTTACCGGTGTTTACTATGGTTTTTTAATTCTGATATGTCTTACGCAACGAATACATATAATACTCGTGTTGTGGCCAATGTTTCTGCAAACATTCCTTTATGCAAAAAAAGTCATTCTCAGAGATTTTCATCATATCTCGGTCCTAAATTATTTAATTTATTACCTAAAACAATGAAAACTATCTCAAAAAAATCTGTTTTGAAAAGAGAACTTAAAGCTTACATTATGGAAAACTTTGATCAACTCAAGCTAGTTTGTGATTGATATACTTGCCTTCGGATTTTGGAATTTTATTTCTTATAACTAGTCACTCCTGGCGTACTGTCCTTTAACATCGTTCAGAAATTTTTGGTAAATTGATGAAAATACATTATTTTTTTTGGTGTAGTCATAGTAGTTATAACACGATTAGAATTTTTTTTATATATGCGTGAATCTCACAACACAAGTTTTACTTAGGTGAGATTCATTCATTACTTTCGCCTGCTATGTAATATATATGGCTAGATATATATATTTTTAGGCTTATTGGATGTTAGGTATTGTGATATTTTTTGTATTGTATGTTTAATTCCTGGTGTACCCAATAAAATTCAAATTCAATTCAAATTAAACGGAGAATCCAAAAAATATTGTTTTTTTAAATTTAAAGCCAGTGGCGTACTAATATTTTTTTACTAAAGCAATGGAGACCCCTATTTTCTCCGTCACTGGTAAAGTAAAAAAAATGAAAAGTTCTCCAAAGATCATACGTACAGTGCCAAATCATTTATAAAAATCTTACGGGTGAAGCCTCATCACCTACAGAAAAATTCGAAAAATATATTTTTTTTCGGGAAACTTTAGCGCGCTGTATCTCAAAAAGTAAACATTGGTCCGGTATATATATTAGTTATATATACTATATATAAAAATTATATATACATATATCCACACAAATAACAAATATTTTTATGTATCAATGACTTTTTATTTAAATTATGCTAAATAAAATTTTACAGCACGGTTGAAAAATGAAAAATATCGATATCTTCGAAACAGGATCAGCTAGGATTTTAAACCAAGCATTTTTTTAATGTATAATCAATATCAAATACGATGGCGTTGGCCGAATTTATCGTCATTTTCAAGCAACCTATCGTTGCTTAAAGCCTCTGGTTTGAATAACAAAATTAACTTTCTCGATTTAATCTTAATCCGCACAAAAATAAAATTTTAACTAAATGGTTCACAAAACTACTTCATCCGGTAGATATTTAAATTTTAATTTTCATCATCCTATAATATACAAAAAAGTGTAATTATTGGTTTAATTAATAGAGCATTGCACTTAACAAGTGCAGTCTATTTACCGACCTAAAAAAGTAAAAAATATGTTATAGAATAACAATTATCCACCCAAGTTTTTAAATAAAATTATTAAACAAAGATTTTTTACTTTTCGTAATAAATCAAGTAAAAGGAAACCAGTCTCTGATCAAATCTCTATTAATTTTCAATATTTTGCATACAAATTTGCTTCTCACTGCAGGGATCTCGGAAACGGTAAGAGGTACGAAGTACCTAGCCTAAATGGGGGCAAAGTTGCGTAATCAAGGGACCAACACAATGCCTCTAAAAAATCAAGACAAACATGATTAGTTTTCGAAATATTTGAAAAAAACAGAAATTTTGGAAATCCGTTTTTGTTTCATTTCTGCCTTGTTTGAGGTAATATTGAAAAAAGAATAACACTTTCTCATGGCCACTTTTTTCCCTGTAGCGAATGGCATAATCAATTTTTATATTGTAAGAAAGAACAAAGTCAGGGGAGATTTTTTTTCCAAGTTTATTGAGAAATACGAGAATATTACAATTATTTTACAACGGATCAAATCTTCAATGAGTAGAATACAAAATGTGATGGTATGATGAGCCAGGTTTCAGAGTCCCAACAAAGACGTGTGAATCATAAGTGATGTTCGACCCGACAGGACACTCAGCGAGGCATGAATATGCAGAAAAGGTTGCACGACCCAGTAGGAAAATAAACATTGGGACCCTAAACCCCTCAGGCTTACAATAGATACATGGAGAGAGACCCTTAACAATAATATCAGGACTACTATATATACTACTTACCTACTTCAACAATTTCGGGACATTTAACAAACCACAATAATATTGGGACATCTAACCCACTTCAACAATATCGGGACATTTAACCCACTTCAACAATATCGGGACATTTAACCCACTTCAGTAGTATTGGGACATTTAACCCACTCAATACGTAAATAATATCGGGACATTTAACCCACTCAATACATAAATAATATCGGGACATTTAACCCACTCAATTCATAAATAGTATTGGGACATCTAACCCACTTAATACATAAACAATATCTTGACATTTAACCCACTCCAAACATATACACATTACGGGACCTTTAACCAATCGAATTACATCGGTGGCAAGGGGACCCTTAACTCACTATATTGACATAAATGATATTGGGCGAAGATCATTCTTAACACCGATAATTCAAACTACTGAAGATTATCGGCCCAACATAAATCTTGCAGCTGATAAAAATGTACTCACCCAACTACAATAATAACCAAAACGAACCTATCCAGAGAAATAACAATTAACACCAAACAATAAACTAATAAACTATTTGAAAACTACTATCGCAGGGACGACCCTCTCGTGTCTCCAAACGTGATAGACTGACACCTCCAAATCACGTACTCCCCGTTCAGTCTACTCCAACGGCCAACCTCTTTGTTACAATCGGCCATCCTGTATGTGCCTCGCCTCGAGGCACTCGTCACTATCGTTGTATTCAGCAGATGGATTAGACAGCACTACATCACCATCTCCATCACTCTCACCAGTCGTTGCATCGGACAGCCCCCCTGGCTGTACCCATGGTTGCATACGATTGAGGGCGACTACGTTCTCATATTTTGCTCTGTCGTTTCTCCACAACCCTTCCATGTCAACCACTTTATACCTGTCATTTGGTAGGATTCACTTGACCACCATGGGACCACAAAATCGGGACGTTAATTTTTTACTTGTCCCCGGTACACTTTCGTCTTTCTGTATAAGTACCAAATCGCCAGCTAAATATTTCCGTGGTCCTTACCTCTTCCGATCAAAATGCTCTTTATTTTTCCTTTGCCCTTTGGTGATTTGTTACAATACATCATTCCTTATTTTGACAAAATCGGCAATTCTATCGAGTATCTCTGAAATCTGATCCTTGAGAACCTGATCGAGATCCCCTCTCGGTATGTATCCTTACAGTATCTCACAAGGTGCCTTCTTAGTGGTGCAATTTGGAACACAGTTAATTGATGTCTGCACTTGATCCAGGCATTCATCCCAGCGATACTCCTCAGGTGACGTCGTCATTAAGGCCCCTTCTACCGTTCTCTTCAGCCTTTCCACATGTCCAAGGAACACTTTTCAGGCTTTAGTGTAAGCCCTTCATCTTGTAGGAGTTCAAGGGCCAGTTTTAAATTTTTCAAGCCATCTTCGACGCTGTTGGAGTAAATTAAGATGTCGTCTAAGTATACCGCTGCCAAGTGCTGTGCTGGGACTAAGACCTTATTAATTAACCTTTGGAATACACTGGGGGCATTGCTAAGACCAAATGGCATTCTATTAAATTCATATTAGCCCCGGGAGGTAACGAATGCTGTCAGTGGTTTCGATTTTTCTTCCATTGGTATTTGGCCAGATCTCATGTCTAAGCTGGTGTAATATGCACTGCCTTGTAGACGATCGAGTTAGTCGTCGATTCTTGGTAAAGGATAATGATCCTTTACAGTTAGCGAGTTTAGTTTTCTGTAGTCAATGCACATACGTGGCTCACCGTTTTTCTTTTTTACTAGCACAATCTGAGAAACATATGGTGAGTCTGATTCCCTTATAATTTCATTGTGGAGCAAGTCTCCAATCATCTGATTCACTATCTCCTTTTCTTTTTCCGCCATTCGGTAATGTCTGTAGGTGACAACTCGATCTTTCTTCAATCGAATGCTCATTTCTGCTGATTTAGCGCATCCCAGACCCTGAATGTCACTGGAAAAACAACCCTTTAAATCATCTAATAATGTAGCAAATTTTTTGTTTTCTTCATAGGTGAATGGGCCTACTGTTAGCATCTCGATATCTATCGGCGGTTGTTCCCGTGCAAGCACTCGCGTAACTTGCGTTGTGTTATTACCACATAATTCTTCGCATGGCCACGTTCTTATTAACAGCATCCTCTTGAAAGATAATTCTTTATCGGACAGGTTTATTACGGGAATAAATACAGGCCGTTCTTGCGAGATTCTTAGAATAATACCTGGGATGCAGTATTCCTGTCCTTCTTCTGCCCGTATACTTGCCTCCATGTACACCAGTGTAATCTGCACCTCTTAACTCCAGTTTCATGTTGCCTATGTGACTGACAGGTATCGTTACATCTCTTTTTACACACAATTGTATTTTCCGATTCAGTTCATCACTAGAAGTCAGATGCTGTTTACTGAAGCGAATGGATTCGTTATTCTTCACTATTACTATTCCATCTTGCTCTGTGAATGGATGTCCTATAAGTACGGGAACGTCCTGACAAAAATTTGGGACGACGTTGACCATCGTTTCTAATTCTACGTCATCTATCTTTATACGACATCTACCAACACCCAGTGTTTCAACCTCTCCTTCGCCGTAACCCTGTAACATCATCCGCTTTTGCGTATCATATTGGAGTTTTAATCGCTCGGCCTGGTCTAACTTAATTATGTTACAAGAACTCCCCAAATCCACGTAGGCCTGGGAGAGTACGTCGTTGATAATAATGTCTTTAAAATATTTTGCATTTGGATCGGTAGTAGTAGCTTCTAGTCATGCAACATTCCCGATACTAGCGGCCGCCGGCTTGGATTTTGAGAAACATCTTTCTTCCGTATGTCCTGTCCGTTGACAAAAATTACACCTTGGAATTTTGTATTGTTTGTTTCTCGGACAGGTTGCTGCCAAGTGTCCCTGTTTCCCGCATGAGTAACATTTATGTTCCACCTGCTGTCGTTTCTGTGTTTCTGCCTCTCCTCCCTTGCAGCATGTTCGAGTCCTTACGATCGGCGTCTCTGTTTGTGTCGCTCAAAGTCCTAAGGTAGCCGTAAAGCGCGTTAGGGTCGCTATAGTTACCATCCCAAGCGGAAATCTTCACATTATTCACTCAGTCCACCGATTATACAAGAGACGGCATTGGCACCGTGGATATGGCATTGGTTGAAGAGTGCAAGCTTTCCAAAGAAATATTTTGTATAGCTTTCTTCAGGCAATTTTCTCCGTCGCATCATCTCCTCCAGCATGTTATATAATCTCTGTTAGATAGAAATGCCAAAGATAGCTTTAGCTTCTTTTCTTCTCAGGTATATCGGACGCTCGGCAAACTCTTATACCAGGTAGCGGCCAAGCCCTTCAGTTTACCAAAGGCAAAACATATAGTTGTAGTTTCACTCCAGTGGTATATCTCCCTCAATTCATCCACTTACGCCAGCCACACTTGGATATTCTGCCGACTATCCTCGGGATAAAATTCAGGTATAATGTTACTTCGGGTCGATTCATTCGTCGTAGCTGTTGGTAGGGAATTTACGAAGTGCATCATCACGTTACTTAATCTATCTATTGAAGTTTCCCTATCATTGGACCTGTAGTTGCTGTGGCTGCGACGCTTAGAATACTTGCTGTCTTTATGTTTCCTCCTCCTAGGTGTTGCCGACCTTGATGGATTGCTCTCCGAAGAGCTAGAGCGATGCTTACGCCATACAACTCCTATCTACTTATCAACAAAACACGTAAAATTGTTTTCTTTATCAATTTCGACATCCCGTACATGCATATCCTGCTCATTTACCACTACTTGGGCGCGAGAGCATCCCACTTCTGACATGTAAGAAAGAACAAAGTCAGGGGTGATTTTTTTTTCAAGTTTATTGAGAAATACGGGAATATTACAATTATTTTACAACGGATCAAATCTTCAATGAGCAGAATACAAAATGTGATGGTATGACGAGTCCCAACAAAGACGTGTGAATCATAAGTGATGTTCGACCCGACAGGACACTCAGCGAGGCATGAATATGCAAAAAAGGTTGTACGACCCAGTAGAAAAATAAACATTGGGACCTTGAACCCCTCAGGCTTACAATAGATACATGGAGAGAGACCCTTAACAACAATATCAGGACATTTAACCCACTTCAACAATATAGGGACATTTAACCCACTTCAACAATATCAGGACATTTAACCCACTTCAGTAGTATCGGGACATTTAACCCACTCAATACATAAATAATATTGGGACATTTAACCCACTTAATACATAAATAATATCGGGACATTTAACCCACTCCAAACATATACACATTACAGGACCTTTAACCCATCGAAATACATCGGTGGCAAGGGGACCCTTAACTCACTATATTGACATAAATGATATTGGGCGAAGATCATTCTTTACACCGATAATTCAAACTACCTACTGAAGATTATCGGCCCAACATAAATCTTGCAGCTGATAAAAATGTACTCACCCAACTAACAAAAGTAGCAACCACCAAACTACAATAATAACCAAAACGAACCTATCCAGAGAAATAACAATTAACACCAAACAACAAACTAATAAACTATTTGAAAACAACTATCGCAGGGACGACCGTCTCGTGTCTCCAAACGTGATAGACTGACACTTCCCAATTACGTACTCCCCGTTCAGTCTATTCCAACGGTTAGCTTACATAACCAACGGCCAACCTCTTTGTTACAATATGTAACGTTTCGTCTCTCCAGGACCATCATCAACTTCATTTTTTTAAATACGACCCTTGAAATTTTATTACATTTTTTGCCGAAGCAGATTCAGACGTTCTGTCTCGAAAAATTCATATTCAGTGTAGTTGTTCCAAATTTATCTAAATTTTCTATTTAGATTTCCTTGTTTATTGAATTATCGTACACTGTAAGTGTCTTTAGACCCTGTGAAATCCATCTGGTTATTTAAACTATTACCACCAAGCGTTACAATAAAACATTTATTATCATTAACTATTACCATCACTTGGTCATACATAACTCAATAAGTTATTGCGTTAAAATTAAAACATTATTACAATTTTAATTTTACAGGTATTATTACAAATTTATTCTTAAAAATGCATTTGAACAACCAAAACACCAACTGAAAATTATTATTTAAAAAATTTCATGAAGGATTGCAAAAAATGTGATACAATTTCTAGGGTCGTATTTAAAAAAATGAAGGTGATGATGGTCCTGGAGACGAAACATTGCACATAAAAATTGATTATGCCATTCGATAGGGGGCAAAAAGTAGCCATGGGAGTGTTCTTCTTTTTTCAATATCACCTCAAACAAAGTTGAAATGAAACAAAAGCTGATTTCCAAAATTTCGGTTTTTTCAAATATTTCGAAAACTAATCATGTTAGTCTTGATTTTTTGGAGGCATTATGTTGGTCCCTTGATTACGCAACTTTGACCCCATTTAAGCTACTTCGTACCTCTTACCGTTTCTGAGATCCCTATAATGAGAAGGGAATTTGTAACAGCCTGTATATTACAATGTTTATCAGAAAAAATTTAATTTATTTTATCCAAATATAATATTTCCGTCGCTCATAAATCATTTAACCAATTAAAAAAATTATTCACGCCTTTGAAAAGTAAAACTCCTGTCTTAAAAAATTCTCATGTTGTATACTCTATTCACCGGTGTGAAATTGGCGACTAAAGTTGGCGACTAATATTTCCGAAGATAACCGAACATTCATGGGCGGAGGTACAAAATGTATTGCATCATAAAGGGTAATATAATATGCATCTCATGTTGAAGAATTGCAATACCGAATGTTCACATTTTTTACAATTTTTGCTTTTTTTTATTAAAGGTTTCATCGACTATCAACCTCCCCACTTTAATTTAAATAATCACCGCTTGCACATAAACAAAGTAGGTATTTAAATTGTTCCTTTTTACAAAAATAATACTATCTCCGCTCTCATACATAATAAGTACTTATTTTTTTCTGGAAAAATCGTATTCGGGGTGTTATTTCAAATGCTGAAATTTCATCAACTCGCAAGTACCGGAAGGGTTTTTTAACAACCCCGAAACGTGAAAATAATAATATCTCCGCTCTCATACATAATAACTACTTCATTTTTTCTGGGGTTAAAACAACCCTTCCGGTAGTTGCGAGTCGATGAAATTTCAGCATTTCAAAGTACACCCCGAATACTATTTTCCAGAAAAAATGAAGTACTTATTATGTATGAGAATACTATTTTTCCAAAAAAAAAATGAAGTACTTATTATGTATGAGAGCGGTGGTATTATTATTTTCAAATTTCGGGGTTGTTAAAACAACCCTTCCGGTACTTGCGAGTCGATGAAATTTCAGCATTTCAAATAATACCCCGAATACTATTTTTCCAGAAAAAATTAAGTACTTATTATGTATGAGAGCGGAGATAGTATTATTTTTGTAAAAAGGAACAATTTAAATAGGTACCTACTTTGTTTATGTTCTAGCGGTGATTATTTAAATTAAAGTGGGGAGGTTGATAGTCGATGAAACCTTTAATAAAAAAAGCAAAAATTGTAAAAAATGTGAACATTTGGTATTGCAATTCTTCAACAAGATATACATATATTACCCTTTATGATGCACTACATTTTGTACCTCCGCCCATGAATGTTCGGTTATCTTCGGAAATATTAGTCGCCAACTTTAGTCGACAATTTCACACCGGTACTCTATTCCATGTAACGATTGCAATGGTCAATATATAGGTACGACTTCACAAAATTTAGAAAACAGATTAAAAAGTCATAAATATAGAAAAAAACTGTTCAACAGCTCTTAATAAACATATAAAAGATAAAAAACATTAATTTAATTTTGATCAAATTAAAATTTTAGTTAAAGAACCAAATTACAACAAAAGACTAATTCAAGAAATGATGCATATTAAAAAAATAAAAGTAGTATTAATGATAAAACTGATATTAAAAATGTTAGTCAAACATTATAATTTAATTAAATAAACGTAATTGTTTTCAACGCCACCAGTACAACTTGCTCAAATTATCGCGTTTTGTTTCTCATTTCAGTATCATCGTATCCACACATCAGCATTGAAGAATTCAAAATTAATATTATTTATAACAAAATTCCAATTAAAATGCAAATAGAAGTTAATTTTAAAATAAGGAAAAAAGATGACAAGCAAAATAAGAAGTTCTCCACTATATTTTTGTTGAGACCCCAATGATCTCTGTTTGATGGATTATTACTGACCCTTTGTATTAATAACCAATTATTTCTTAAATATATATTTCTAATTTATTGACGATACATGTCGAAAATAATGGTTGACAACAACTGTCATAATTAAACAACGATAATTGAATTAGGAATATCACGGTGCACTACTACATTCTGAA